ATTGCTGCTCCACGGAACAGTTAGGAAAAAATGGCAAATAAGTATTTAAAACATGGTGAGATAAGTTTTCTAATGAAGATATGTAAAAGGAGCTCTAAGAACACAGCAAAGGATGGGCCTAACCCTTCCTTCTGTACAGAGGAGACCTTCTCTGGATCCCAGTGATAGCTCATAGCAAGTGACTGGCTGTCTGCGCCTGGCACGGTTGCAAGCATATTACACATATTTATTCATTTAGCTCTTACAACAACCCCATGAGGTAGGTACTTTTATTATCATTTTCATTTTAAAGATAAGAAAACTGAGGAGTATAGAAATAGATAACTTGCTTAAATTCCCACAGATCTGGCCTCAAACCTAGGCAGTTTGGGTCCAGAGCCTGCCTTCTTAACCCACATATGATCTGCCTCATTTGAAAAAGAATTCAGGATCTTAAAATAAGACCACGTAAAAATGATGGGCATATTAGAGGGCATACACTTACGGAACTGCAAGTCATTTGGTTTGATGAGTGCAGAGGATGAACATAGGGTGATGAGGCCGTTGGGCTGAAAACATAACATTCACATAGCCTCACATATATGGGAGCACGGTGTGTGGACTGTGGATAGTAGGGATAGGACTAGACAGGACGGAACCCATCTCCAGTAGTCACAGTGCTAACAGTTTAATTATACTTGAGATGTAACTATAAAGTCTTAACATAGATGTTATTTTAACACATCTGTTTCATGGGCATGGTCTCTTCCCATCAGTCATCTTGGGAAGCTCTGCTTTGATTTCTGCCAAGTTCCCATTGCTCAGAGCGGGTTGGGAATGTCTCTTCTAAAATTCCTTCAGAGCAAGTCACAGTGGAAATCCTATTATCTTATGATCATGCCTCGTTTTTGTCTCAAATGTTTTTCCTAGTTTGGTCACTCACCCCATTTACTTACTGGTCTTGGCTCCCAATAATGTATGCCTGTTTGCTGAAATAACATGCGCTTTCAAATCCATTCTCAAAAAAACAAACTTATGTATATTTCTACATATAGTGATTCTGACTTTAGTATGTGCTTTAAAATCATCTAGGGGGCTTGATTAAATTGCATGTCATGTCCCTACCCTTAGTAATTTTGGCTTAGCTGGTCCGAGATGGGGATGCTGTCTGCAGTCTTCAACAAGCATCTTGAAGTTTCTGTTTTGAATGACCAGCCCACACTTCAAGAAGTGTACATTTAAGGATATTCACAAGAAAGGGTGGTATATATTAAGGTAGTTCCAAAAGAGAAATTCCAAAAATGTTCTGGTCAACAGGGATATAAGTGGCATGTATTGTGCCTACCTTGGGGACTATTCTCTTGTAGATGATGCTTATTTAGGATAAAATGTTCAGTTTTATTTTTGAAAAGAAACAGCCACCATTCTGCATGGTCGCACCATAAACACTGAAACCCTCTGTGCCTTGGGAAGGACCCATTTCATGTGTTTTCTCAATGACGTCCTACTTGATGCTCTGCCTCTGTAAAGAGAGGTGTTCCTTTTTGAGCCAGCTGGATCATCTCAGGATTAGAGGATCTAGTAATCCATCTAACATGACCACGTATTTTCTTTCTCTTAAAAAGAATGAGCTGCCTTCATTGCTTGGACTCAGAGCACTAAATCCCAGGAGCGGATATGGCAGATCTGACAGCTGTCAGTCATATTCACAAAGGCCAGGTTCACCAGGTGATGGATTGACCAGCTGCAGCTGCTGTCTTAGGATAGTCACCATGGCAGGGAAGCTCCAGAACCAACCTTCACTCATGTCAGGATATATTGCATTTTCCATTCCTTTCTGAATCCATGTGACCACCTAAATTTTTTGATTAAGTTACCTGATTTGAACAAACATAGTTTTCAGTGAGAATGCAAGAACTTCTAAGTTGCCTTACTTTTTATTTATCAACTATCCTGTTGCGTTCACACCTACTGAAGAGAATCTCATACAATTGGAAACAGAAATTGAGAGCTACAGTTTATTTTATTAAATTCAGTTTCACAGGTGGGTCCTGGTTTCTATTGATGGCTGACACGGAGCCTTGCCAGGGAGTGAGTCAGGCTTCTCTAAGGCACTGCTGGGGGCACAACACAGAGGTTCCTAGTCTCTTGGCAGAGCTTTGTCTCTGGAAACCCTAGCCCCCAGCCACCTGTTCTGTCTGGATCTGAGGATCCAGTATTATCCACCTTGAAGAAATGTGGACATTGTATGATTTGTATAGCATCATTTAACTTAAACATTAAGCTCTGGACTGGTTTAAAGCTTAGTGAAGTATAGAAATAGAGACTGTGTTTAGACTCCCGTGAGTAAAAAGTTTATAAAAAGAAGAGGATTTTGTTTTTTTGATCCCAGCCTCTCTTTCTCTTTAACATTAACAAGGACACACATATTTTCTTTAAGAGTTTCAGGGACAAAAAAGGAAGGAGAGATTGGATTGCTGTCAAAATGGCCCCCAACCAGTAGAAGCAGTGATCAGATGGCCGACCACATCCTCTATCTTTACTCTCTCTTACGTCTGTCTTTCCTGTCCCCTACATAGGGTTGCTAGATTTAGGAAAGAAAGAAAGAAAGAAAGAGATAGTGGGGAGAGAAGGAGAGAGGGAGGGAGGGAGGGAGGGAAGGGGAGGGAGAGTGAGTGGGGAGGGGAGGGGAGGGGAAGGGAAGAGGGGGGAAGGGAGGGAAGAAGGGAGGAAGGGAGAAGAGGAGAGGAAGGGAGAGAGGGAAGGAGGGACCAGGATGCCTAGTTAAATTTAAATTTCAGATATGCAAGGAATCATATATTAGTATGTATCTCATGCAATATTTGGGACCTATTCCATGGCCCTCTTCCATGCCTGTCCCACACAATTCAGGGCTCTTCTTTTATTTTCTAGTGGTTTTCATTTTCAGAAGATTTTGTCTCTCAGTTGGATCAAACTCTCTTTCGGGCAGCGAATCTATTGCATCTTTCAAGGCACCCTAAATATCACCTTCCCTCTTTGGGGTCTATGGTTAGATTTCTCCTAAGCATTTCCCTCTGCTGCAAGTGCAGAACCCCTGAGTACCTCATGCCTTTCCTCTCTGCCACCTGCAGGCATTCATTTCATGTACAATGGCTGGCCTGAGCATAGAGCCAGAACATAGGGGTGCTATATATTTTTATGATTGGTGATGAACTGAAAGCAATTTTTGTCTTGTTAAGAATCAATTAAATTCAGCAATTTATTAATGTTTACCTGCATGCCAAGAGTTAGTAGTATTACCATGGTGGCTCATCTGGGAAGTTAGTAACTTGTTTCTGTTTAGGAATAAATACAGGAAGGGATAGGTTGAGAGCTATACCCAGATTTTGCAACTTGTGCTATGGTTTCAGCCAAAAAGATGTAAATTAAAAATTGTCCTCATATATGGAGAATCACTTCAAATTTTGAATATCACCTTCAAAGAAATGGAGATTTTCCATTTATGGTATCCATTGACTTTCATTGATCTTTTTTAGTCCTAAATTTCTTCTCTGTCATGTTGGTTTACAGTCATATATCTATAATATTATAAAACTAAAAAAGAACTTTGAAAGCCAAAAGAATGATATAAATGACAACATATTCAATTCTCATTAAAAAGCTTACCAGCCTGTAGAATAATGGCACACATAATTTATAGAAAGGATATCAGATAACCAGGTGCCTTTTTACACCTGGATATATTGCTTCTATTAATGATATTATTTAAATCTTCCTTCACAAATGACACCTAGCAGGCTTTGAACCTTGAGGATTAAGTTATGGATGTCCTGCTTGGTTGAGTAATTTTCAGTTGTAAAATGCACAGAAGAGTGAACACATATTTAGAAATGTCTAGATGGTAAGTTTTGTACCAGCCAGGCTTATCCTAGGCAGCATTGTGAGTGTGGTCCCCAAAGCCCCAGTCCGCCTTTCTGAGCCTTTTCCCCAAGCTCCTAGTGTCCTGCTACCTATACAGATTTGCATCCTTTGGAGGATGGAGCTAGGCCAGGAAACTGCCCAGGATCATCAAATCCTGCTACTGTGCCTGTCCCTGAGCCCTGCTGTGAAAACTGTTCATTTGACTATAGGAAGAAATGACTGTGAATAAAACAGCTGCCAAGCTCATATCCTACAACAGTGAATAAACATGAACTTGCTGTCATACATATAACCATTCATAAAAACCCATAACTTAATGTGGCTCTCCTATATTTTGAGTGTCCCTGGAGTTAGGGGAGAAGAACAAAGGCTGAGCATGAGAAATCATGTCACTTTCTCACCAACTCCAACATCATAAACATGCGAACACAAAGCTCTTATGAAAGCAGATGATCACGTATATGAGAAAAATCAAATGTGATAACCTCAAGGCTAAAGCTGTGATTGAAAGATCTTTCTGGAATGTTTGTGTTTTAGTCAAGTCATAAATCTTGTCCTATGTAGCCTGCACCTCTGGTGTCAAATGAATTTCAGCTCATTAGCCACATGTTGAAAAAATAAGAATGTTAGAATATTGACTTTATTTGGAACGTGATTGAGTTAAGTCTGCTTTATTTTTTAATCCAGGTAGACTCCTTGTTTTAATTATAAATACATAATAAAAACAATTAGGCACAGAGTGAAATAAATGCTTATGTTTTATTCATGACAGAAGTAGTTATTTTATCATTCAGGATGAAGCCTTATAATACCCTTACAAATTCCTTAATATTAAAATAAGCATCGCTTTGTTTTTGTTGAAAATTCTCTTATTGGATGATTGGGTTTGGGTGGGAAGTGAGCCTAATGATTGCAGAAATGTGGTGATTCTAGATCATTCCTACCTGATACTGGAATGTGCTGATTATAACTCCATAGCTTCATGGATCTCTGATTTGGAGGATATCATCTGTAATAAAATTACTACCAGGACCCTAGTTCTGTTTATTTGAGTAGCATTTTTATCTCGCTGATTTGAATTCAAATGCATTATTAATTTTGTTTTCTTTTTACTATAGGTGGAAAACAGGCCAAAATATTATGGAAGAGAGTATGTATTATACTATTCTTTGTTTTAATAATTTAATAAGTAGTCATTTCATGTGTCATTTAAATATTACAAATTTTCTAATATATGGTCATCATATGTCTATTATGCAAGAGTTTAATGATAAGAATAAATGCAATCAGACTCCTTTGAATTAATATTTTTTATAGCACTCAAGTGCTTAGTTTCCATTAATGTGGGAGGGAGAGCATCTTGCGCTACTTTTCGCTCCACAAAAGAGCTACTGAGTGCCTGGCAAGTACTTGAAACGTAAGGCAGCATTTTTCGTAATGGAGGCTGTCTGTCAGTGTTTCATTTCACTTTCTACCTCAACACAATAGAAACGTTTGGGGTGTCCAAGATGGTACGTTGTGTCTGAGTTCCTGACTTTTGTGTACCTCCGTGCAGTGGTCAGGATAGGTATCCCACTTCCCTGCATTCTCATAAAACCCAAATGATTTCTCTTGGCTTGGCTGTATTAGCCAAATTGCCTTAATACTCTCCTTTCCATTTTTCTCTTAATTTCAACTCTTGTTTTGTTTCATTTTTTTCCAAAACCTGCTGCCCAGCAAATACACATGACCATAAAAATAATTCACAGTCTAAGCCTATGTTGTGTACAACACATCACAGAGGGCAGGCAGAATAGGCCAGGGGAGAGGAGATGCATCAATCACTTTTCTTCCCAAGTCCAACCTGGAGGCATTGTGAGGCACCGTCTCTTTAGAGTCTGCCTTCCAAGCTCTCACAGCCAATCCTAAACCTGCGTCTTGTTCCCTTACCCGTCAGAGCCTCATCTTCATGATTAATGACCCTCTTAGTGGTCCCAGCCCAGTGCACCTTCCTAATTGCCACAGCTGCATTTCAGAACCTTCCTTGCAGTGCCCTGGGAATTTGACCAGCACCTCTGGAATGCCTGCCTGGGGGCACTGGCCTCCGCTCCTCTCCACCCCATGTCCCTACTATCTGATCTATGTCGTAGTATGGCTTTTTTCCCTCAGTATGCTTATTTGTTTTTTTCTTTAAGATAGCACAATTAATTTTTAAAAAATAGAAGAAAATGAAAACCTACTATCTACACTTTTGCATGTGAATTCTAAAAGGAGCTGTTTATTATGCATTTTCTTTTTTGCAGAAAAGTTTTCTTGAATGACTTTTTAGTTCTCATCTTCTTACCCCCAATTCATGTAAAACATATGAGTGTCTTGAGACTAAGGAAGTATTTTCTTAACTACCAAAAGGAACATCTTTTATTAGATGGTAATTAGCCTAAAACCTTCAGATGCTGTGTTTCCGTTTATTTTTTTTTAAAAATGAATGGTGTTTTTTTCTTCCACTTAAAAAGTAATACATGCTTCATTCAGGAAACGCACATACACATTTATTCCTAGAAGGAATCACAAGAAATTATTGACAATGGATACCTTTAGGGAGAGAGCACTTTTGCATTTTTAGTTCTTTTGTACCTTCAACTTTTGAAATTAGAATTTTCTGCTGTGCACAGGTGTTACTTTTGTTTTAAAAATAAATTATGGCTGCGCACAGTGGCTCACGCCTGTAGTCCTGGCACTTTAGGAGGCCAAGGAAGGCAGATCACTTGTGCTCAGGAGATTAAGACCAGCCTGGGCAACATGGAAAGACCTCATCTCTACAAGAAATACAAATATTACCCGGGCATGGTGGCACACGCCTATAGTCCCAGCTGCACTCAGGACCACAGGAGGGAGGTGGGAGGATCACTTGAGCCCAGGAGGTCAATTGAACCATTGCACTCTGGCTTGGGCGACAGAGTGAGACCTTGTATCAAAAAAAATTAATACATTAATACCAATTAACTTGGAAAAATTAGAAAATAAAGGAAAATACAAGACGGAAAATACCCATAGTTCCACCATGAAAGAGAATCATTGCTAACCTTTTCCCTTCATCTCTTTCTGGTCTTCATGCATGCTTGCTTTCTTCTTACCAAGTTGCAATCATACTAACGTATTAGATATTATAGGTTGGAGATATTTGGACTTTCAGAAACCATGCATAAAGGGGATGACAAGCCACAGACTGGGTCTTCAGGTGCACAAAATTGTCATTTTCTTCCTTTGAATGATTGAATTTAATTTAGTTCTTGACAGCGTTTGATGCTGTCGATCACTTAAACTTGCCAATTCAAGTGAATTAAAACTTAAGTTCTAGTGTTCAATAGCACAGCAAGGTGACTATAGTTAAAACAATTTATTGTATACTCCAAAATAGCTAAGAGAGGCTTTCAAATGTTCCCAACATAAAGAAACAATAAATGCTTGAGGTGATGGGCATCCTGATTACCCTGATTTGATCATTACACACTGTACTTACGTATCAAAATATCACACATTCCCCATAAATATGTACAATAATTATGTATCAATTAAAAATAAAAATAGAAAAAGTATGCATACTCAAAATCAAGCATTAAAAAAAAAGAGACATAAAACTTAGCTGCTTTTGGCTGGGCACAGTGGCTCATGCCTGTATTCCCAGCACAAGGATCGCCTGAGTTCAGGAGTTCGAGACCACCCTGGGCAACATGGTGAGACCCCGTCTCTACTGAAATACACAAAATTAGCCAGCATGGTGGCACATGCCTGTAGTCTCAGCTACTGGAGAGGCTGAGGCACAAGCATCGCTTGGGCCTAGAGACAGAGGTTGCAGTGACCTGAGATCACGCCACTGTGCCACTGCACTCCAGCTTGGGCTACAGAGTGAGAGTCAGTCTCTTAAAAAAAAAAATCTAGCTGCTTTTAGGTTTAGAGACTCCCCCTTTTCCTGTCCCTTCTGCTGCAGTGACCTGGGGAGGTCCCTCTGTGTGCCCTGTCCTGCTATTGTTACTCTGGCCCACAGGTTGTGTCTTCGACATCCCAGCTTTTGTCTTTTCTACTTATGTGTGGGAATATTGGCAATGCTGTCTGCCCCTCCCACTCTCCCGCTGCACGTCCCCTCCCCCCGCACACCCACCCCCACATTCACTGCCAACCCATCCACCAACCCATCGCAAGGCTGCCCCCAGGGCTCTTCACCCAGGCCGTCTACCCTCTCCATCCTGGCTCAGGCTGCACAAGAGGCTCCTCCGCAAGGTTCCTAGGTCCAGTGGCCTCACTGTCAAAGCCCCAACACCTCTGCTCCAGGCCCCAATAAACTGGCCTCCCAGTTCCAATCCATACCTGCTATGCAGGGCCAGTTAAACCCCCTGAGACTGGGCTCTGCTTCAGTCCCTCCCACCAGAACTGGGGATGCACAGAACGTTCATCCTTACTCCGAAGAACATTGCTCCAAGACCTCCAGGCATCAGCTCTTGAGATTTAAAATCAAACTTTGGGAAGCCAGAAAGCCTGTTTTTTCCAGGCCGTCACTGCCGTACACCTTTTAAGTAGCGATTTTGAAGCACAAAGCCACGGGCTGCTTCTGACCTCACTTTGCTTGGACAGAAGCTTCAGCTTGGAAGGTCTACTTTTTAAGGATAAAGGGAGTTAGGAAATAAATATTGTGATAGGCACTTTTAAAAATGTTACCCTTCTCCATTTGTACCCTAACTTAATCTCTGCATTCCTGAGGAAGATACAAAACAAAACTTGTTTAGCTGACTTCCCTTTCCCCCTCTTCCTTTCAAGAAAGTAAAGGAGTTTTTCTCCATCCAGGAAATTTATTCTCTGATTTATTCTCCAAAGTTCTCCAAGGTTGGGTAATCCTAGAAAGAGGTGTTACTCCTCTCCCAGAAGCTTGGAGTCCCTTGGCACTGCCTCACTCCCCAACCCAGCTGGAAGAATGTTGATTATCGCTACTGTTTTCTAGAAAATGAGCCTTTAAAATTACCACCACCCTGAACTGAAGCAAGCCGGTTGCTAATCAATAAATGTCCACTTGCAATTAGGATAACACATAGTTCTCTGAGCTGAGAGCTAAATTGGTAATTGCTCTTCTGTTATTTCCCATGGTTAAAAAAAAGGCCGGGGGGTGGTTGAGTAACCTGGCTTTTTGTTTCAACTTTCATTTTCAACTTGAGAGCAAAGACAATAGCAGAAAGCCAGGTGGACTGGGCATTCTTCCTTTTGTTTGCCTGCTTGAATACTTGTGTTTGGAGCGTGTGAGGGGTGGTTCCAAGTCACTTAAGATGTGCAGCAGTCACTCCCCTCTTCACTCAGTTGGGGGGCTGTCGATTCTGGCTGCCCCCGCCATCCTTCTAAGGCTAGTTCTTTGTGGTCGTTATTCTGTATGTGGTCTGTTCAGAGCAATGATGGTCTTACACCTTCAGGTTTCATGGGATCATCTCTCGGGAGCAGGCGGATGAGCTTCTCGGAGGCGTGGAGGGTGCCTACATCCTTAGAGAAAGCCAGCGGCAACCAGGATGCTACACGCTGGCTCTCAGGTGAGGCGCATTTCATTCCTTGTTTTCATTGCTGTACAAGTGGCTTCACTGATGTTTGCCCATTTTTAAGAATTGCAGTAGAATATACATAACACAAAATTCATCGTTTTTCCCATGTTTATTTTATGGGGGGGTCCCACTCTCTCACCCACATTGGAGTGCAGTGGTACAATCACTGCTCACTGCAGCCTCTGCCTCCCAGGATCAAGTGCCTCCCACCTTAGCCTCCTGAGTAGCTGGGACCACAGGCACACACCACCGTGACTGGCTAATTTTTTTTCTTTTTTCTTTTTTTTTTCTGTAGAGAAGGGGGTCTCACCATGTTGCCTGGGCTGGTCTTGAACTCCTGGGCTCAAGCCATCTGCCTGTCTCAGCCTCCCAAAGTGCCTACAAGTCATCAGCCACTGCATCTGGTCTCCTTTTCCCTTTTTTTTTTTTTTTTTTTTTGAGACAGAGTCTTGCCCTGTCACCCAAGCTGGAGTGCAGTGGCGCGGTCTTGGTTCACTGCAAGCTCCGCCTCTTGGGTTCACACCATTCTCCTGCCTCAGCCTCCCGAGTAGCTGGGACTACATGTGCCTGCCACTACGCCTAGCTAATTTTTTATATTTTTAGTAGAGACGGGGTTTCATCGTGTTAGCCAGGATAGTCTCGAGCTCCTGACCTCGTGATCCACCTGCCTCGGTCTCCCAAAGTGCTGGGATTACAGGCATGAGCCACCGCGCCCGGCCTCCTTTTGCCATTTTTAAGTAAAATTCAGTGGCATTAAGTACATTCTCAATGTTGTGCAAACATCTCCATATCCATTTCCAGAACTTTCTCATCATCCCAAACAGAAACCCGCTACCATAAACAATTACCCTCCCTACTCCTTAGTTGGTATCTTCACTTGTTTCTGAAGTACCAGCAGTCTATCAGAGGTTGTATACATTTCCTCAGTCACAGATGCTATCAGTAGGTATGGACACTGGGACTCTGAGTATGGACACACAGTGAACTGGAGAACCATCTGGAAAGCTAGTGTTTCTACAGCCACTTCTGCCTGCACCATCTAGCTGGCCGAGGCCACAGCATCTCTGCCTCAGCTCCCAGCAGCCCATGTTGAAGGAAGGGCTTCTTCACCTGGCCTTGCACGTGCAGACCTCACAAGACCTGCATTTGCTCATGGGGTTCTCTCAGGGATCACCTTGTTGATCCCAGGAACCTGTCATGAGGGCAGTCATGACCCTTCAGGCCAACGAGCCAGTAGAACAGGCTCTCCTGAGCCTTTACCACAAAATCACAACTATTAAACATCACAACACAGGAAAGACAGCGCATTTATGGCACTTTTCAAACCTTGATCAAATATTTTATGTCACTTGATCCTCGCCGCAGCCCTGTACGTTTTGGGGAAGGTATCCAATTTCAGAACTGAATTGTCTTTCAAAAGTTCGTTTGTGAACTCTTCGGAATTGGAAAACCCTCTCTCCATAGAGGGAATGGTGTCCGTGGGAGCCCTTCCCAGGCCCACAATGGTGTGTTCCATGCACCATCTCCCTATTCTGGCTGTGCAGTGACACTTTCCAAGTTGCAATATGTCTACAACGTATCTTAAATAATGTAATTATGAGGATGAACTTAAAAAGCTATTATATCACGCGCTGTAGGTGTGCAAAATACTTTCCTATCTTCCCAGCGCTTCAGTAGCAGAAGCTGGCAGTTCTAGTGGGAAGTCAAGCAGGGGCTAGGGCTCAGAGAGGAGGGAACCTATAGATTAGATTGTGGGGATGCTGGCAATGGCTCCAGCAGGGAGTTTAGCACACCTTATTGCTTCCCTTCTATTGCACCAACTAGGGTGGAAGGCATGGGGTGCTCTGCTGGAAGTGGTAAAGATGCGATAATAAAGAGGCATCAGGACGAGGGGCAGGGCATCCCTTGCAGAGTAATTGCCAGGTATAGAGGAGAGCTGGTTCCCATTAAGTAAGTTTATAAGTAACATAGTTGTAAATCAGGCATTACCCTCTGACTTTTACAAATGAGAAGGATACTGACAATGACCTTAGTGATTTCTAGGATCAAACGACTCCAAGTGACGGCCTGGGGTTAAGCCCCACCTCTGCCTTGTTCCAGGCATATAAACTCAAGCAGGAACCGCCAATCTCTTCAAGTGTCAGTTGCCTTTGCGGTAAAACAGGCATAACCGTTATACCATCTCAAAGGGTCTCTATGATCATTAGGGGGAAAAAATAATCACATCAAATGCTTAGCCCTATGCCTGGGCTACACTAAGTATTCAAAAAACGTTAGCTGCTGTTATTATCATTCCACGCTGTGCTTATTTCTAACGTGGTTGTAATCCCTCATTCTGTCATGGGCAGGTTTGGAAACCAGACCTTAAACTACAGGCTCTTCCACGACGGGAAACACTTTGTGGGCGAGAAGAGGTTTGAGTCGATTCACGATCTGGTGACAGATGGCTTGATAACACTGTACATAGAAACAAAAGCTGCCGAGTACATTTCAAAAATGACAACTAACCCCATCTACGAACACATTGGATATGCCACCCTACTCAGAGAAAAAGTATCCAGAAAGCTGAGCAAGTCTAAAAACGAACCAAGAAAAACAAACGTCACACATGAAGAACACACGGCGGTGGACAAGGTGAGCTATGTGTGATGGAAACAGCCCTTCTCGTTTTAGTCCATGCCGAGTCAGCAGGCAGCTTAACTGTAGGTGCGATTTGCTGGAATGTTGGAGGAGAGCCACCCTCACCCAAAGAAGTCTAGAATGTTAGTGCCAAAGGGACCTTAGAAATCTAGTTCAGGCTGGGCGCGGCGGCTCACGCCTGTAATCCCAGCACTTTGGGAGGCTGAGACGGGCAGATCACGAGGTCAGGAGATCGAGACCATCCTGGCTAACACGGTGAAACCCCATCTCTACTAAAAATACAAAAAATTAGCCGGGCGATAGTGGCAGGCACACGTAGTCCCAGCTACTCGGGAGGCTGAGGCAGGAGAATGGTGTGAACCCAAGAGGCGGAGCTTGCAGTGAACCAATGAACGAGATCGCGCCACTGCACTCCAACCTGGGCGTCAGAGCGAGACTCCGTCTCAAAAAAAATAAAATAAAATAAAAAATCTTCTAGCCCAGGCCCCTCATTTTACAGGTGAAGCCCAGAAATGTTTGATGATTTGTTCAAATTCATACAGTCAGACCTAGGACTTCTACCAGGTCATTTGTGGGTTTATTTGGAGTTTGAAAGAAAAAAAAAAAAAAACCTCCATTAGCGTGTTATGATGAAACACGGTTTCAGTTGCCATTTGAGGTGTCACTGGCTCCATCTGTAGTTCCACCCAGCCTGCCAAATATGTGATATTTGTATTTGCTTCTCTTAGGACTGGGTGACTGCCCATGATCCACAGGTCAGGTCTCTTGAAGGTGGTCTTACTTAGATAACAGGTTTCACTGACAGATATGGGAGCATTTCACTGACAGATATGGGAACGTGGCTATCTCTAGGAAGCTTAGAAAGACAGGCTGTCCTTTGCCCCAGACAAAGTTATTATGCCTCACCAAGGATTTAAAAAACTCCTAAGTGGGCACATATGCAGACGGGGGTGGATTGTGGCAGGAGGTGGCCGGGGAGATCTGATTTTCCTCTCCAGTAAGTTACTGTGTGTTTGAAAGGCACCACCAGAGTTTGCTAGCAGATTTTTGGGGATATGCCCCTTGAGGGACCATCTGCTTTGCCTGGTCCTATCCGTTTCCTACTGAAGGAAAGTGATAGCCAGGCACGCCAGTCAGCCCCTGCAGAGTCGGTGCTGAGCCCGGCTTCTCAGGCACACTAGGGCTGGGACAGATAGAAATAAGCTGATAGGAGGTACAGCCCTGCCACACTGCTCCTTCCAGTGGTCGCTAATCCTAGTTAAACCGGAGCGGGCCTCCTGTCGTCCAGTGTCAATGGGAAGCAAAGGAGCCTCGGGCTGACGGACTTGGGACTGGCATTGGCAGAGGGGCTTCATCAGAAAGCCCTGAGAGGGAGGAGGGCGGGGTGGCACCGTGGTCCCGTTGGCGCAGACAGGGATGATCTCAGTTGATTTGCTGATTGAGCTTCAGATCCTAGGAGAACCTTCCACAGAATCACATCAGTGCAGCAGCTGGGCCCATGAAAATATAATTTGCCATTTTCTTTTTATAACCCAGTGTCTCCAAAGCACCTGTTCATTATTTTCCAAATAATTGCTTTGGGAAAATTGTGGGGTTTCTGATTGTTTACATGTTAACAAAAGAGAGAGAGGACTTGAGTCCCAACTTTCAGTTTGTTCTGGTCCAGACAAAAGCCATTCCTTAGTCTGTTTGCAAAATCTCTTCCAAAGTAATTTAGAATAGAAGATATGAAAGCCGACCTTCCCAGCCATGACAAATCAGAAGATGAATTGTAAAATAAAACTCTGAAGCAGTGTTTATATTTCTGAATCAGAGAGCAAAGCCACGAAAAAGGCAATCTGTTACAAACTGCAGGATGCACACTCGAACATCTCAAGGAAAAGGAGAGCAGGAGGAGTGTCTCTTCTGTATTAGGGCTGAGTTGAGATCCTGGATATTGAAAGTGATATTTCTGGATTCTTGTCCTCCCCCGAGAGGGAAGTTTGGTCAACAGAAACGGATATTTCTGGACAATATTCCTATCAGGAAACTTGTAACTCAAAATATGCCCTCTTGTGCAGATATTTTTGTATTTATTTGTCAAAAATAAATGGTGGAGGAAATTAGTAATCCAATTAATAATCACTTTGAATGAGGCACCCAATATACATTTACCGTCCTGGGAAATGGTAAATCAAGAAGATATTGCAGGAAGACACCCACACTCCCTGAGCAGTTTGATGGACAGGTGTCAGTGGTGTGGATTTTCTTGGACACTAATGATGTGATGTTTGGTTGTCCCAGGGGACACTGTGGACACTGGGCCTGGTCACTTGCTGGGGGCTACTCATTTTGTTAGTAGGTTTGTTAAGTTAGTTGGAACAAATCCATCTGTTTCTCTCTGCCCTGTGTTGACAAGTGGAATTATTAAAAGTCTCAGCCTTGCCAGAGATTCTGTTTCCCTTAAGGGCAGGTCAGTGGCCCGTTGCCATGGAGTCAGTGACTAGAAAAGAGGGACCGGAAACTTGAATGGCTTCACTGAGAAGAGTGGGTGGGGGGAGGGTACCTGTTTGCTGTGGTAAGGACACGTCTTGAAGGTTTTAATGAGTGAAACGAGCAGGTTTCCTAATATTTCTCAATTCCAGACACACCAGCATTTCAGTTTCCAAAGTACTTAAATTTCGTTTTCTCGTTTGTTTTATTGATCATTTCCAAATGAATCCAGAGAGATGATGTTACCTGTGTATCCAAGAATACTAACACAGTGTTAGTTGGCAAAAAGAGATTACCTACTCCATCAGATTTGAATGGCTTCCAGATTTCTCTCCAATCACGATTGTTAGCAGTAAACTTGATTTTAATAACTGTAGATGAGATGGAGAGGAAGGGAGGAAGCCAGAAAAAAAAAAGTTGTTATGGTTAGCCAATAGTGATCCGTCTTCCCACTGATTCTTTATTTGGCTGAATTTAAAAACATTATGATGTATGTGGGCCACCATTCGGTGCATTTAATTAAAATGGTCACGTCCAGTGTAATTTCTTCTATGAAACGCATTTCAGAACTTATTCCATAGACGGATTATCTACTGACCTTCACATACAGCACTGTAAGCAACAAAGGAATAACAGGAGATTTAACATGAGCTCAGACATTTAGTGTTAAACACATTTCACGTATGTGAACTAATTTCCCGTTTTATCCCTCAGAACCACTTTGCCAGGTCCATAGGGCAGGAATCACCTTCCCTATTTTGTTGAAAGGCTCACAGTGGCAGGGTGAGGAATCAGACCCAGGCTTCCTGATTCCAGGCTCAAAGCTTCTTAAATCAACTGAGCAGATGTGCCTCGTTCTGTGCTTACTGCCCTTAGTGCTTTGAGCGAACACCCTTGGTTTTGGCCATCCTGAGGCAAGTGATGCTAAAAGTCACTCAATATTTACATGATCTGTTTCTGAAAACAGATCATGCAAACCGAAAACTGCTATTATGAGCTATAATAACTAGTATTTTCTTATAAAGTATACCCTACAAATCCAATACATATGACAACAGTGTTTTTGATAATACATTTTTATTCAATAAATATGGTTTGTCATATTAAATTGCATCTATGTTTTAGTGGGGAAAAAATCATCCATGCCCTCCATATAATAAAAGCACGTTAAGAATATGTTATACCAGTTTATTCATTTCACTATTTGTTATAGCAGCAAAAATTAGAAAATGACCTTAATGTCCATCAATTTGAGACTGCTTAAATGAATTATGGTACATCCGTGTTAAGGAATATCACATTACCCCAGGAAAAGAATGAGAACCCTCATATGGGCTGATATGGAACGGGCACCTGGAATTGTTATATAGAAAAGGGCCTGGCAGTGTGGTGTGTACAGTATGGTATTATTTGAGTAAACTAGTAGAAAAAAAATATTTTTATTGATTTTTATTTTAAAACTTTATTTTATTTTTTAAAGACAAGATCTCGCTTTATTGCCCAGGCTAGTCTCAAACTCGTGGGCTCAAGCGATCCTCCCATCTCAGCCTCCCAAGTAGCTGGGATTACAGGTATGAGCCACCGCATCCAGCCAAAAAAAGCTTTTGTGTATATTTTTTTCGTGCAAAGTCATAAATATCCCTTGAAGGGTGCAAGAGCCAGTATCACTGGTTGCCTTTGAAGGAGGGAAGTCCTCTTGCTTTCTTAGGGCAGGCACCGAAGCTCTCTTTGGTTTCTACTTTCTTCCTGCCAAACCAAAGAGAGTTACGTTTTCTGGACTGAAGGCCTTCCAACCTTACCGGGCTGTCCTCCTTTACAGACGAACTGTTTCAGCAGAGAACCTCTCCCCTCTCCTCTCCCACTCACATTTTTGTTTGTTTGTTTGGTTGGTTTTTCCTTCTAAATTATTTTCTTCCTTTCCAGCTGCCCATCTTTATATCCAAGCTGGTCCTTTCATTGGTTATTTCACTGTTTCCACCATGTGATCTGCTAGCCTGTCCCGGTATCTTTGCCTAGGAATGATTCCCTACAATGTGCTTGAACAGAGGCCATGGCCAGGCCAAGGAGTGAATGTCCAGCCCTCGCTTACCAGCAGAAGTCTTCATACAAGGTTGAGCCTGTCCTGAGTGGTTCTCCCCAGTGCCATGCTCGCGTCTCACGGCTGGTGGGGACTCCGTGCTCTTCAGAGTGTTATTGTTGTTGCTGTAATTCTGGAAAAGCTCTTATTTGCTTTTTCTACACGACAGAGTTCAAATTCCTCACAGGATATTTGCAGCCTGTCTAAGCCTGGGCCCGTTGGAGAAGCATAGCCTGAGACTGGGGTTTGGTACAGATGGGGAATTTGGAAAGGCATCCCAGGGGGAGGAGGAGAAGCCGGGCAGGTAAATAGAGGAGGAGAGAGGCTGGTATATGCACGCTGTGGAGCTGGTCACCTTCTCAGGAGCCGGGTAGAACTGCTCCTAAGAGGAATTGAAGTGGGAGTGTTTAAGGCATCACCTCCTGTCCCCTCTTGGTTGAGGGGT